ACTTTGCTAGTTACAGCTACAGGTGTTAAGAGAGCATTTTCTTCCACGAAAATTGTGAATAATCTGATAGTAACTAACCCTGATCAATTGATGAATAACTATTTGTTACTTATATTGAGAAGGATGTATTTGATAGTGTTAATAATGAAAGCAATTATTCAAAACTTTCAAAATATGAAAACTCTTCGAAAACAATTATAATTTTTTTAAAAGTTATATATATATTTTTTTAAAAATAGAATTGACTACACTGATTTCAATTTCTGACTCTGCTTGCAAATGATAAATGGTTGCACATATCATTCTTGACAAAATCTATCTCAATAGATTTAAAGAGAAGATAGATAATTGAAAATTAAATAGAAATGACAATTTTTATCATTTCAAAAAACCCCTGTCACCTCTCTCTTCTTTCTCACTAATTTAACGGCCAAAACCCTAAAAATTAAATAGAAGGACTATTTAGGATGATAGAATCAAACTTTAGAGATGCACTAGACATTTGACCAAACAACAAGGACTACTTAAATAATTTGGTGATATCTCAGGACGAATTGATAATTTTCTTAAAAATTCAAGTAGTTAAGGCTATTTTTGTCATTATATTTTATTCTCTCTTTTTACTATATTTTATTTGGTTGACCAACAATAAAAACACTAGACCAAAAATCATGCTATTAAATACTTCCTACATTTTAAAATTATGGTCCTACTTTTCTTTTTGGGTATCACAAAATAATAGTTTCATTTACATTTTTTTAAAAGATTAAATTTTTTTTATATATTTTGATATAATTAACTACTTTAGCATTGTATTTAAAGATTACACTATTTTATCCCTGTAGTATGGATCCGCTAAATAAAATTATCCTTCCATTCATTATTTGACATTTAAGTTGCTAAGTTTTAGTTAAATGATAGGATTAACTCTATATTCATAAGAATTAAAAAGGAAAAAAATTATCTTTTGTCCCTATGATATAATTAACTATTTTGTCCTTGCATTTTAAAAAAAAACATTATTTTATTTCTATAATTTGGTTCAATTAATGACTCAAATTTCAAATAATGGACAGAAGATTAGAGAGACAAACTACAAGAATAAAATAGTGTAGTTTTTAAAATATAAGAACAAAGTAGTTAATCATGCCAAAACACAGGGATAAAACTTATTTTTCCTTTTTAAAAAATATTTTTCTTTTCACTTTTCTACAATACCATTATATAATAATTCATGTAAATAATTAATATAGTTGAATTATTTTTATTATAATCTATTTACTCGTCATTGTTATTTTTAATTTTCAAAATCTGAAAATGGGTTCACCATTTAATTTATTTATTATTTGGTAGTTGAAAAGAAAAAGATTTTGATTTTTTTTATTTGTTTTAAAAAAAGTATTTTTTATGCTCTCACTTGGATGCTGGCATGTGTTATTAAATCACGTAATACACAACCAACCAGATTTTATTCTTTTATTACTTAAATTTTCAAAAAATAATTTCTTTTTATCTATCGAGAGATCAATCGAGCATAAGCTATATATTAGTGCTAGTCCTCCACTTGATTCATCAAAATGATGAAAGCTCTTGTGAACTTGACACCTCATACTCTTTACATTAATAAAAAAAAAAAAAAAAATTCTTGAATAGTAAAACAAATATATATATTATCTTACTTCTTATCTATTTTAATATTCTAACTATTCATCCTACTTTGATATTTTATCACGTTTGGTAAAACATAATAAACAAATGCATAGAAAATTCCACTATATTTTCTATCAAGTTACATGACTATTTATCATGCCTTTAATTATATTTCATTTCGATTTAACATATATAGCTATTTCATAGCTTTCATTACAACTTAACAGAGCATAGCCTTTCGTGGATACATATATTTGATTCAAAAAGATTGCAATACCACTCATCTTGCTACCAAATAAAATTTTAAAAGAATTGAATAACTTAAAGACCCTACAGTGACAATTCAACTCAACAGTCAATACTTCTACCACGCTATGGGAAAAAAAAATCGGTTCGTTTAGTTCAGACAGTTCATACCAACTGATAATTGATAGTGGTTAATTGATTATTATTTGTGTTTAGTAAAATTTTAGTATCAGTTGTTAAAATATAAAATAACCATTAAAACCATAATTGATAGAACACGTACAATTTACCTATTGGGTGCAAAATAACTATCAGTTTGAATCAAATGCTTCGAAAGTTACTAATACTATACAAGGAGGCCGAATGCATTTCTCCTCTTAACTTTCATGCTTTAATTAACCATTTATCACCGTAAACTTGAAAAGACCTCTCATACCTTTAAGCACTTTAAAGTCAAAATAGATCCAGCTTTGAGCATGAAACATACGCACCAACTAAAAGAAAAAAAAAAAAAAAAAAAATGCTTCGAAAGTTACTAATACTTATACAAGGAGGCCGATGCATTTCTTTCTCCTCTTACTTTCATGCTTTAAATTTAACATTTATCACCGTCAACTTGAAAAGACCTCTCATACCGCGTTAAGCACTCTTAAAAGTCAAAATAGATCAGCTTTGAGCATGCAACATACGACCCACTACAAAGAAAAAAAAAAAAAAAAGCAAATTTAATGTCTCGTTTACACATATTACAAAATTCCATTCCTTAAATACTAAAAACCATTTAAACCATTATTAAGAATCATATAAGTATGAATATATTGAAATTTCATAATTAATTAAAGTTAAAAGAACAAAAATTCTTTACGAAAAGAAATTTAAGAAAAAGAAATAAAAAAAAAAAAAAAAAAAAAGCAATTTAATGCTCTTACACATATTACAAAATTCCATTCTTAAATACTAAAACCATTTAAACCATTATTAAAATCATATAGTAAATGAATATATTGAAATTTCATATTAAATTAAAATTAAAAGAACAAAAATTCTACGAAAAGAAATTATAAGAAAAAAGAAAGAGCAACTTGCAAAATAAATAACAAACAGAAAAATGAAAAATGCAAAAATTGCGGAAAATGCAGAAAAATAAAGCAAAATGCAAAAAGCAAGAAATGATGAAAAATGCAAAGAGCAATCTACAAAAAACAAAATGCACGAAGAAGAGTGAGAAAACTGGAAAAAGTGTAAAAAAACTAAAACAAATGAAATGCAGAACAATAAAAAAATATATGCAAAACTGGAAAAAATGTAAAAAACACTAAAAAAATTACATGCAAAACTACATAAAAAAGCAGAAAATGCAAACAACACCGATTCAAGACTCAATTCAAGATTTGATGAAGTTTTACTTCATAAAAAATTCAACGGAATAAAAAAGTTAAAATTATTATAAATCCAAATGCAAATCAATAGATAATAATATAAAACCCCATAAAAATTCAAAAAATAAATGAAAAAACACACAATCCTTCACCATTAATGCCGATGACAAAATTTATAAAGAATTTGGACAAAAAATAGAAATAAAAATAGAAGATAAGAGGGAGTAACAGAATCAATATGCAATAAGAATAAAAAACATACACCTTTGTTCATCCGGAAATGAGAGAAAAATCATAGTTGAATTACAAGAGGGGGTTGTCAAGGATTAAAGAGAGAGATACAGTGAGAGAATGAAATAAAGAGAACCGAAAGTACGTGGGAGATGATTTGGAGAAGAGAGAAAGTTAAAAAGGCTAAATGGTGAGTAAACCATCATATACCCTAAACTTTGCGGGTTGTCATAATTATACTCTAAAACCAACTTAACCTTGGTTAAGTGAAACGGTGCGTTTTATTTAAGAATAAAAGAAACCTTAAAAAACCTCCCTCTTCTTATTATTTCTTCTCACCCTCCTTCATTAATGGTGGCACTTGAGGCGCTTGCCGGCATTAATAAACGCTGTAATCTAGCTCGAGTGATATTGGTGCGGCTCAAGGGGTTGGTTTCCCCTAATGACAGAACTAACATGGAGATATTAGCAATATATTTGATGCTTTGCAAAATTTACTCGAAAGCGCAGCCGAAAGCGGCGATGGCCACTGTAATAAATATTTTATAACAAATAGGCCCTACCACCATGACCATTGTGACGATCAAAACAACTAACTCTTGCTGTGTCTTAGCTTCTTCAAGACATGTCGCCATATGTTAAATTTGGCCATTTTACAGCACATCAACTGGTAGAAGCTCAATGGGAACTAGTCAGGAGACTGGCCACTGTCTTACCGCTTTCCTGCCTCAATCGGTCAGTTCTCCTTTCACCGGTGTAGATTATACTCCATCGAGACATTTAGACTGTCGGCTTTGAAGTTGGTGAGAGGAGAAACATTAATCATGAATTGCATGTTACACCTTCTTATTTCAGTTATCGCGCACCCGATTTGGTTGCTTCTTTGAGATGAGATTGATGAAGGACGGAGAGAGAAGAAACTATGAGAAGATGGGGGTTTTTTAATGTTTCTTTTGTTTTTAAACAAAACACACCGTTTCACTTAACCAGGAAATGATTAAGTGAACTCAACAAAGTCCATTGGGTCCTACAGATAATATTATGATATCCAATTTTGATCAAAATCAAATTGGGGCACAATTTTGACAAAAAGATGAAAATAGGGTACCTAAGGGTTAAATTGGGTTTAGAGTGTAATTGTGACAATCTGCAGAGTTTGTGGTATAAATGATTATGTTTGATTTTTTACTAGGTTATCGGCATAATTTTCTCCCTTCATGCGCACAAGAAAGATTGGCTTTAAACTCTGATTTTAAGTGTTTAATTATTATAAAATTGGCAACTTAAAGGACATAATAGGTCTATTGTTAAATTTAGGGTGACAAATGGTTAAAACAGAAAAATTTGAGGTGAATTTATGCGTTCGTCCCGTACAAGGGCTAAACAGTAGTTTCTGTAAATGTGGGACCCAAGTAATGCTGGATCCAATTAGTTTAGTGGACCCCACACAACTATGCTCTCTGTCGGATTCCAAATTATTTATCAAATTCCATTCAGTTTTTGTCTTTGGCTTCCAACCAGAAAAAAAAAAAAAGAAAGAAAAGAAAAAAAAGCTGTCATAGGCAGAGACCTAAAGATATTTTCTTATTTTTACAAAAGAGAGAGACAAGAGAGAGTGTAGACAGAGCAGAGGCGAAGAAGAGAGTGTTAAGGGTTAAAGGGGCAGCATTTTCAAAGCTAAAGAGTATCAGAGACAGAGGAAAAATGAGAGAAATAATAAGCATTCACATAGGACAAGCAGGGATTCAAGTAGGAAACTCATGTTGGGAGCTCTACTGCTTGGAGCATGAAATCCAACCAGATGGAATGATGCCCAGGTTGAAATTAACCCATTTCTTCACATTTTCTTTTATCTTGGTTAATTTAATGTTTTTATACTCAATTTTGTCGGTGAAGTTCATAGATCGAGCAAGTATTTCACTTTTATGTTCCTATTGTATTTGTGATTCTTGGGTATTTTTTTATATTGGTTTATATGTTTCTTCTTTATTTTTTCTTGGATTTAACCCTTAAAATGATAGTCTGATTGGATCATGAAATTCTCACAATTTTATTGGTCGATTCTACTGGAAAGAAATTAGAAACTCACATTATCTTTCTCTTCATTGGTTGGTTTCGTGTTGTTCCTAATTTTCTAGTACATGACTTGGGGGTATTGTGGTTTTTTTTTGTCTGTTTGTTTTGTTTATTTGATTCTGAGTCAGATGCTTATGAATGTTGGTGTCTTTTACAGTGACACTTCAGTGGGTGTTGCACACGATGCTTTCAATACCTTCTTCAGTGAGACTGGATCTGGCAAACACGTTCCCAGAGCTGTTTTTGTCGATCTGGAACCAACAGTCATTGATGAAGTTAGAACTGGATCTTACAGGCAACTTTTCCACCCGGAGCAACTTATTTCTGGGAAGGAAGATGCTGCTAATAATTTTGCTAGAGGTCATTACACAGGTGAGAAATCTTGTTGCAATTTCCAGTACGATTTATGTCCCTTTTCTATGTTAGCAACATTGTTGGATTTAAGCTTATATGTTTGTGGCCTTTAGTTGGGAAGGAAATTGTGGATCTCTGCCTTGATCGAGTGAGGAAGTTGGCTGATAACTGCACTGGCTTACAAGGGTTTTTGGTGTTTAGTGCTGTTGGTGGTGGAACTGGTTCTGGTCTGGGTTCTTTGTTGCTAGAACGTTTATCTGTGGATTATGGAAAGAAGTCAAAGCTTGGGTTCACCATTTATCCTTCTCCTCAGGTGCTTACAATAATGAAAAAAACATTATATTTAGATTCCTCTTAAACCAACATTGTTTCCATCTTTTTATGTGGATTGCCATTGGAGGCTTGATCTAGTAATCTAATTGTTTGTTTGGTGTCACCATAATGTGTGGATACTCTTTGCTATTTGTTAAATTGAAAGCTGCTCTTCTAATACAATGTTTCATAAATTTGAATACAACATTAATATTTCAATTTAGTATCATAATCAGAAAAAATTTTCAACTAAAAAGAAAGTTTAAAGAGAGGGAGAGAATTGAAAATATGGACTCAGCTATAACACAACTTTCTTCTGATTGTAGGTCTCAACTGCAGTTGTGGAGCCTTACAACAGTGTGCTCTCTACTCATGCCCTTCTTGAGCACACAGATGTTTCTGTGCTTCTAGATAATGAAGCTATATATGACATTTGCCGAAGATCTCTAGACATTGAAAGACCAACTTACACCAATTTGAATCGATTGATATCTCAAATTATATCATCTTTGACCACTTCATTAAGGTTTGATGGAGCCATTAATGTGGATATTACAGAGTTCCAGACTAACCTTGTACCATATCCTCGTATCCACTTCATGCTTTCTTCATATGCACCTGTCATCTCAGCTCAAAAGGCATATCATGAGCAGATATCAATTCCTGAGATCACGAATGCTGTTTTTGAGCCTTCAAACATGATGGCTAAGTGTGATCCTAGACATGGGAAATATATGGCCTGCTGTTTGATGTACCGAGGAGATGTTGTCCCCAAGGATGTCAATGCTGCTGTTGCTACAATAAAAACCAAAAGGACCATTCAATTTGTTGACTGGTAAGAAAAAATGCATGCAACTAGCAAAAAAACACTACTCTTATGCTGATGAATTAATATTGCTTGTGGGCAAACGGTTTGGAATTTTTATCTTCTTCGCTTGATGACTCACACTGTGAAACCTGTAGACGTTTTCTAATAGTCCCTCATAAATTTGATCTGGAGATTATTTTACTTGAACTCAGGTGTCCAACTGGCTTCAAATGTGGCATCAACTATCAGCCTCCATCTGTTGTTCCTGGGGGTGATCTTGCCAGGGTACAGCGTGCTGTATGCATGATCAGCAACAACACTGCCGTGGCTGAGGTGTTCTCTCGCATTGACCACAAATTTGATCTCATGTATGCCAAGAGGGCATTTGTTCACTGGTATGTCGGTGAAGGCATGGAAGAAGGAGAATTCTCCGAAGCCCGTGAAGATCTTGCTGCCCTTGAGAAAGATTATGAGGAAGTTGGTGCTGAAGGTGGAGATGATGAAGAGGAGGAAGGTGATGATTATTAGTAACTTTCTGCCGGAGAATGTTTATTTGGAGATTGATTCAATATTGTGAGGATTTGCTACTATTCTTCCCCCTTAGTATAATTCAATTATGTTTCTGGTGTGCAGCACTACTGTGTTGTCAGTAGCTGTGAAATTGTCAAAATGGTCTATGTTGCTATTAAATGTTTTTTGGGAGCCAAGGTTATTTCAAACCAAGAATCATGACAAATATGATGATCTCTTTCAGAATTACAATATATTGTATTCTTTCTCAATCTCATCTTTTGGCAAATGATATTACTGGAGATTCTTTGCCTTAGTTTATGCTGAACATGTCATGTTATTGCGCTCTATCTATGTTTGGATTATGAATGCTTGTTGCTGTTTGGTGACTAAAACCGTATATTTTTGTATTAGACTGATGAGATCTGGTTAATTTGCAATGGTTGTTTAAGATGCAATAGCAGCATCTAACTCTAGACATTTCTGGTGGCTATATAAGATTGGGCTGAATTGTTTTGTTAATTGTTCATGAATGACTTCAATAGTGTAGCAAAAGAGTCTAGCAGGCATGTGAGTGAAGCTAAAGATCTCAAAATTGGACTGGATTATCTGAATATATCTTGAGTTGGCCACAAAAAAAAAAAAAAAAAAAAAAAAAAAAAAGCTGAATTGTTTTGTTAATTGTTCATGGAATGACTTCAAATAGTGTAGCAACAGAGTCCTAGTGGCAGGCAATGTTGAGTGAAGGCTAAAAGATCTCAAAAATTGGACTGGATTATCTGAAATATATCTTGAAGTTGGCCACAAAAAAAAAAAAAAAAAAAAAAAAAAAAAGGTGCAAAAATGTCCAAAGCTACCAGGAAATAGATAATTCTAGTTCCTAAAAAAAAAAAAAAAAAAAAAAAAAAAAAAAGGTGCAAAATGTCAAAGCTACCAGGAAAAGAAAAATTCTAGTTCTAATAAGCAATGTAGAATGTCGAGGAGGAGATGCTATCAGACATGAAAACAAGGAAAGTTTTATTCTGGCAAAAGAGTAAATTTTCTCATATTGTCGCTAGAAAAGCATTCATTCATCAAAAATAGCTATTTGTTATGCCTCTGTATCTTGATACATCAACTCTTATAGAAGGTAAATGGGGAGAATTAAGTATGACAGAACAAGTGACCCATAGTGTGAAGATCCCAGAGAGCTTCATTTGGATCATAATTAGCACTCTGCAAGTACTCACTTACTCCACTCATTGCATACAGTGATGCTGATATCTGTCTTTCTACCTTCATTTGCTCAAATTCAGCTAGTTCTAACTCATGACTTGGATCACACAACTGACTGACATTCCTTGCCAACTCTTCTTGCATTAGTGGAATCTGATCAAACCCAGTCGGCAATGGCCATGAATAGTAAAGTTGAGATGAACCGGCCAGTTCGAGCCCCATATTGCAGTTGCTCAAATCTGGTCTGTACACATCATCATACGTCTGCTGGTTTTCTTGTCTAACATCACTGCTGTTATTATCATTGCTATTATTTGCTGCTAAAATATTGCTGCTACTGCTAATTATAGTAGTTGGTTTGATAGTGGCTTTCTTTGAAGTGGTAATTGCAGGACAATTTTGTTTCGAGTTCTTCTTGTGATTGAGGAGATTTCTGATCTTGATAGAGATAGGGGAATTAGTAGAAACATGATTAGTGAAGTTGGTTCGAGTGTTCGAACCACGAAGCAAGCATGCAGCTTCATCGTAAGCTCGAGCAGCTTCTTCTGCTGTATCAAAAGTCCCAAGCCACATTCTTATCTTTTGTGTAGTGTCTTTGATTTCTGCTACCCATTTGCCGGAAGGCCTTTGTCTAACCCCAACAAATTTGGTTTTGGAGTTTTTTGTTATGCTTCTTTCTTTGAATTTGCTTTGTTTGTTTGGTGAGAGCCCTTTTGGTTGCTTTGGGGAATGGTTTACCATTTTGGAAAGACCTGAGGGAGAAAAGAAGAAGAAGAATATGGATTTATATATAGTGGATAAGAAAGTGGTTTAGGAGTAGTTAGGTTAGTGGGATGCCTCGTCTTTTATTTCTTGTCGCCATGTTCGTTTGAATTTGTTCTTCTCTTTTCTTAGGATGACTGATTTCTCAAAGTTGACTTGACTTTAAAGCAAGTGAATGTTTATTAAAAACGGCTCAAATCGAACTAAATCGAGTCAAACCAAACTGAAATTTCAGTTTTTAAAATTGATGGTTTGATTTAGTTTGTAAATTTTAAAAACAACTAATATTGATTTAGTTGTGATTTGTCGGTCAAGACCATTAAACTAAACCAAACCAAAAATACATTAAGGAATAAATAGATAAATAATGTTCACAATATTTTTTACTTATTATCTTACATATATTGAAGTATTTAATTGTATTAATTGTGTTTAATTTTAAACTTTCAAGCCCTAACTTGCACTTTTTTATAAGAAATTAGTTGAATAATTCTAATACAATTAAGTTGTAAAAAATAATTTTGAATGATGTTGAGAAATATGAAGAAATTACAAAAGATAATTAAATATAATTCATTTATTTTCATCTTAATTTAATTTTTGATGGAAAAATTAATTGAGATTTATTTATTTTATTTATATTACTGAAAGTTAGGGAACCAAAGTTTAAATATTGAAAAGGATCCAATGAAAGATGATAATTATAGTTGGAGATTTTTCATTTTATTATTGTTTATAGTATATTAAACAATATAATATCTTTATGTTTATTTTATATTATTATTGTTTTCATTTAATTTTTATGTTTTGTTATTTTTTCTTTTTTATTATTTGTTTTGATATTGAATTGTAGTATACTTAAAACTTAGTTTTTACGTTCAAAATCTTTTTCTCCTTTTAATTGCTGTGAAATCAAATCAAACCAAATCGTATTTGTAACTTTATTTCAATTTGAATTTTCTAAATATTGTCATTATAGATTTGGTTCGGATAAAACTCATATTAACACTCTCAGCAATAAATAATTGGTGATTAATTTCAAAAATTTCCATAAGCTGAATAACTAAAATTAAATTAAATATATAACTAAATCAAATCGAAATTATGGTAAAGTCCTCTCGTCCCCACTTGATCAAAGTTTTTGAATTTTAGTTATTAAATAAAAATACAAACCAAAATAATAGTTGGATTTTCCAATAATAAGCAAATAATAGTTTTTATTAATCAATAAAAATGGAAATTAGATGAAATAAAAAAATCGTTTTAAGCCCAATTATTAATTAGAACATGCAAGCCATTTTGTGGGAGAGAGAGAGAATATAAGAGAAACAACTCAACATGAGTCAAAGATTATGAATGAATAAGTTTGAGTTGTCGTCTCCTCAAGTTAGTCAACGAAAAAACAAAGCAAATATAGTGGACAGCACGAAGGAAAGACACTTGGAGTCTTTTCCTTGAAACAATATTATGGTTGGGCCCCCTAATTTCTGTGGAATCTTTTGCTGCTTTTTCAGAATCTCAATCCTCGTTACCAAACAAACCAATTATTAATTTTTTTTTTCTGATGGAAAAAGGAATATTTATTAACTAAAGCATTTCAGTATCAATTGTTACAAAAGCTTGTTCCGGAGGAGAGCTCCAAATCTGAAGGCTAGCATACAAATAAGCCACCCTTGCCAAATCCAACTATTAGCTTGCCTTCTTATCCAATTAAAGAGCCAACATTGAACAAAACTGATAAACAAAGAGGTTGAAAGTTCTGTCTTTCGTTAATAATAAAACGATTTATATACAAGAACTACAGCTCGCCTAATTTCTTCGTACAATGTAAATTCTTAAATTAATGGAATAAGAATAATCTCCTAAAAGATAAAGTATCAAGATTTTACAATAGGAAAGTATATACAGAAGGGAAAAGAAAGAAAAACAAAATCATAAAAATCATAGCTGTTGAGAGATTATATTATAATTGTATTTCTTGTATCTCATCAATCGATTACATAGGTCTATATATAAGGAATTCATATGCTACCTAGCTATTTAGGAATACAAATCTGTTTGAGAGATTATATTATAGATTGTATTTCTTGTATCTCATCAATCGATTACATAGGTCTATGATTACATAGGTCTATATATAAGGAATTCATATGCTACCTAGCTATTTAGGAATACAAATCATAAACTAATTAGGAATCTAACTCCTAATAGAACTCTATTTACAATTAATCCTTAACACTCCTTCTCAAGTTGGAGCATAGATGTTAATCATACTCAACTTGTTACAAATTACTACTTTCAGCAAAGCACGATATCATACTCAGCCACAATACCCACTTCATTATGGCAATATAGAATAAGGGAAAATCATATAATTAATGATTCACTTCTAAAAAACTTATGCTCGAATTAATGGCTTCCCACCGTGTCAAAATGACATTCTACCATTGAATTACATCAAATAGGCATCATGACTAGTCATAATTAGTATGGATCAACTCGTTTTAACTCATCTTTTGACTTTTGAATTTTAATTTCTTTTAATTATTTAGCAAAAATTAAGTAGAATTTGACAAAGATCAATATTATACCGTAGTTTAATATCATAATTCATGCCACAATCTCCGAAAATAAAAATAAATAATATTTTATTTTTTATACTTAAGTAAATAAATATTTGATGCACAATTTGATGACAAATAATTTACAATTCGAAGACATATGTGTCTATATATCTATATATATATATATATATATTATATATATATATTGAAAATATGATTGACTCTAAACTTAAAACTTGAGAAACTTTCACTGTTGTGGTGGCAAAATTCTTAAATACTCCATGTATTTTGTGTGTAAATTCCACATGTATTTATAACCTATTGAGGACATTTTAGAACATCTTACTATACATACAAGTGAAAGTTATGCTAAATTCAAGTTGGACATTTAGCAGCGAGTTTTTATTATGATTTTAACACATAATTATAATATATATAATATATAACTTTTATATTTTAAAGAATAAAATTTCAGAAAATGATACCCAACCAATAATTTAATAATTTAGTCGCCTTATTTTGCCCAAAAAAAAAAAAAAAAAAAGAGTAATTGAAGCTCTAACATTTTTCTCAAATTAATCAAACTTTTATATTCAACTAGAGCCATTGTATCAAAACTCTAATTTCGGGTAAATTGTACCAATAGTCACTTAGTTTTATTTGGATCACATAATTTCAATTTGTAATTTTTTTAGTTACTCAATTTTAATTTTTATTTCAACGGGAGATCACTTATCGAATCTGGTAATTGAAACAGTGATATGACAGTAAAAATTACATATATTAAAAAATGATAATTATGAAGGAATATAAAAAGGAAAAGGAAAAAAATGCTAGAGAATATAGATGATAGAGTGAAAATTATTCTTTTTTATTTTTTTTGAAAACTTGTTTCATATAAATGATGTTATTTATTGAAATAAATTAATAGGTAGATTCCAAATTAATGTATTGGGAAAAAATATAAATTTTTAAAATAGAATATTCTCCATAATATATATATATATATAAGGAGGAGAAGATTTAAATCTTAGTGGTTATTTTGAATTTTTGTTATTTGTGGATTTAATTTGGAGTAATTATAGGTTTCTTGATTATGAATATGTTTTGATTCTTGAAGAATTTGGTTATTAATTAAATTATTTTTTTATTAAAAACCAAAAAATGACTTTTTACGAGTTAATCTAGTTTTTTGATTTTGTTTTCAGTTTTTATCATTTTTATTCTGTTTTTAAGTCGTTCACTTTTAGATATTAAATCAAATCGGATTCGCATCCAGACCGACAGACTATTTAGTTCGGTTTGAAAATATTGCCTTGACCCCATTAAAAAAGAGAACTAAACAATCTTAAAGCAAAAGGTCAAGCAACCGATACATAAAAGTTCACTTTTTTAAAAAAATTTTGACCTGCAAAAAACAAGATAGTACCCGAGGATAAAAGAAAAAAATATATATGATAAGAATTATAGAACATAAAGAGTATCAAACTATAAATAAAAGAATATAAGTTATACACCAATAAGTTGAATGTTAAGCTATCATATTTCTTTTCCTTTTCTTTACACCTATTAAGCCCACATATTCAAAAGTTCAGCATAATCATATGAGGCACCGTTTGACTTGGCCTTTTTCCCTTTCCACAGGACTCCAATATGAAAAAAAGAAGGAGAAAAAAAAAAAAAAAAAAAAAAAAAAAATGACGCTAAAAGTGATCCCTAAATTTTGCATCCAAAAATGCTCAATTTTCACTCCTTTTTTGATTTCGGCGGTAAAATGTATAAATTATATTTTATTGGTCAATAAAAATATCTTAACATTTTGATATGGTTATAGAATGAGATGTTTTAATTATTAGGAACAACATTCATTTCGCTTAGGATTTTAAAGAGGTAAATAATATTTTTAATGGTTATTGAAAACTTTTTTTTTTTTTTTTTTTTTTTTTTTTTTTACATTGAAATATTGCTCATATATTATTAAGAGAAGAAACGAGCAATACAGGCGAGAACAATATCTTAAGTTCGAAAACAAGCCCCACTAGGAACTGATTTAGCCAAAACATGAGTTATATCATTAGCTTGTCTTCTAATCCAAGCCAAAGTGACATTAGGCAATTGGATTAAGAGTAACTTAAATTTAGAGATGACAACTCTAAACTCATATAAGTTTTGGACAGAACTCCTTATAGCATAGTAAACTTGCAGGCAATCGGTTTCAACCTAAAACTGTAAACTAGAGTAGTCTGACAGCAACCAGGATAAAACATTTCTTAGCGCTTGAGCTTCTGTTAATGCTGGAGAAGAACAACCCTGCAATGATGACGTTGCATACAAATCCGCCATGACAGTTTGAAATTACGGCACCAAAAGCTCCATGGCCAACAGAGGGGAGAAGAGCTGCATCAAAATTTATTTTAAAGGTGCTAGCCGGTAGCGGGAGCCATTGATTACTCGCAAAAACATTTATACTTGAATCAGACGACTTCAGCTGGGCTTTCTTCCAAGAGGCTAGCATGCTTCTAGCTCGAGTAATCACATGATAAGGTCCTTCTTCTACTTGGTCCCATTTCAACTCATTATGGCTCAACCAAACACTCCAAAGTCCCATAATAAAACTCTCAAAGAACTCAACCTCCCACACCTTGTGGAAATGTTCCAACGTCTGTAAGAAATTTGGAAAAATTCCAATCTTGAGCTGAACACCAAAAAACTGCCAACAAAACTTGCTCTTGGACACTCAACAAGAGCATGGACTAATGTTTCAGCAGCACCACAGTAATCACATCCTGTATCAAGCTCCAATCCCCTTCTTTATAAAGTTGCTTTAACTGGCAGAATGTCTCTACAACACCTCCAGAGGAAATGCCTCACTTTCGTCGGAACTTTCAGTGACCAAAGAGTTTTCCAAAAACCCGACTGCCAAGCTTCTTCAGTTTCCACATAATGAGATGCTATTATTCTATCTCCAGATTTGACGGAATATATCCCTGAGTATGTCCAATGCCATATAAGGATGTTGTCCTGAACGGTTGTAGCTAAAGGAATAGAGGTAATAGCTTCAGCAATTGAAGGGTTGAAAAGACCATTTATCATCAGTGCAATTCCAAGCATACCCTTGATGCCCAAAATAAGATTCTAAACCCTTATATGTCAAACCAGGAAGGATAGCAGTTAACTCGAAACTAATTATCCCTCAGTAGCCAACGGTTCAGTCCAGACCATTTATCAGTGGCAAATTCCAAGCATGACCCCTTGTGCCAAAATAAGATCTGAAACCCTTATATGCTCAAAACCAGGAAGGATAGGCAAGTTAACTCGAAACTAATTATCCCTCAGTAGCCACGGTTCAGTCCAGACATTAACTGATTGGCCATCGCCAATTCGCCACCGAAAACCTGAACAAATAGCATCCTTAGCTGCACAAATTCCTCTCCATACAAAACTTGGATTTCTGCCAGCGCCTGCACCATGGAAATCCCCACTTGGGAAATATTTAGATTTGAAAGAACTATAAAAGAGATAGTTTGTATTATGTAAAAGTCTCCAGCAGTGCTTTCCTAGCATGGCTAGATTGAAGCTTTGCAGATGTCTAAAACTCAAACCTCCTTCTTCCCTCGCTACACGCAGCCTTTCCCAACTCAACCATCTCATCTTCCCCAATAAGAATTCATTAACCTCTGTAACTCCTCTAAAATAGATATTGGTATAAGGAAATCACTCATACAGAATGAAGGAATAGCTTGTGCCACAGCCTTTATTAGCACCTCTTTACCCGCTTTGGATAAAAGTTTCTAATTCCAACCACTAACCAACTTCCTCACACGATCCTTTAAGAAAGAAAAATTACGCCTCTTGTCCTAACCAACTAATGAGGGCAGGCCGAGATATCTTCCATGGTTCAAAGGAGCAATCACATCAAAAACCCCTTTAACAGCATCCTTATCCACTGCAGAAGTATTAGAGCTGAAAAAAATACCTGATTTTTGCCAATTAACTGCTTGACTCGAGGCTGCTTCATAAGTAATTAGAATATGTTTAATCTCCAGAGCTTGAATCCGTGATGCCGCAAAAAAGAACAAACTATCATCTGCAAACAAGTGAGATAACCGAGGAGCAGTTCTCGATACTCTACAGCCTTGGATACGACCTTCATTTTCAGACGTACTAAACAACTTTGACAGGCCTTCAACACAGAGTATAAACAAATAGGGAGATAATGGACATCCTTGTCTCAAGCCCCTTTTTGGGATAATTGGGCCAACCTCATCACCATTCACTCCAACCCAGTATTTAACAAAGGAAACACACAACATGATCAAGTCAACCCAACGCTGGCTAAAACCCAATCCTTGCATAACAGTCTGTAGATAGCACCAATTAACTCTGTCATAGGCTTTAGAAATATCTACTTCACTCCATATGAAGTTCTCCAGAAAGTGTTAACAAAGGAAAAACACACGAAACATGATCAAGTCAAGCCCAACGCTAGCGCTAAAAACCCCCACCCTTCAGAACGAGTCTGTTAGTAGCCCAATTAACTCTGTCATAGCTTTTAGAAATATTACTTTCAGTGCGCGAAGCATCCCTTGTCGAGCTTTCCATCTGTTTGCAATAAGTGGATTAAACTTCGGAAAGCGAACTTAACACAATTTATCTGAAGTAAGTAATCGCCTGGACCAAAAGAGCTTTTGACCAATTATGAAGAAATAGTCGAGAATAAATGACGAGTGAGAATGAGAAATCAGACCTAAGTTCGAAGGCCATGAAGAAGATGAAGAGAAATGGAAGTAACAATGCGGTAGCAAGACTTTGTAGATAAAACGACATGAATATAAAGTGAAAATTTGAGGTCAGGACGTGTCCTTCACTGTTCCTTTCTGTCCTTCACTGCCTCTGGTTCCTCTACTTTTGGAATCAACACAATTAAGGTATCATTTAGATTATCCGGAAAAACACCTGCATTGAACCAGTCTCGACAACCTTGAACAACATCATGGCCCACAATATCCCAAAACCTCTGATAGAATCTAGGATTTAGTTCATCCATCCCTGGGCTTTTATTCGCATGCATTTGCTTCACTGCCAATTTAACCTCATCCACTGAAATATCTCCAAGTAGCATAGTATTATCATTATCCGAAACCAAAGGAGAAAATAAATCCACAACAGGACTTAAGTCGACATCTCCTGGCTCGAAAAGATTAACAAAATAATCCCTGACCATACCTGTCAACAAATTGCTGTCATTTATCCACTCGCCAGTAGCATCCTTCAGCCTAAAAATCTGCTGAGATTTCTTCCGTTTTTTAGCAGTTGCGTGGAAGTACCTAGAGTTCATATCCTTCAGCCTAAAAATCTGCTGAGATTTTCCTGTTTATTATTAAGCAGTTGCCGTGGAAGTACTAGAGTATATTCATATCCCCAGATTTTGCAATCCAATTATCCACTCGCCAGTAGCATCCTTCAGCCTAAAAATCTGCTGAGATTTCTTCCGTTTTTTAGCAGTTGCGTGGAAGTACCTAGAGTTCATATCCCCAGATTTCAACCAAAGGGATTTCGCTCGTTGAGACCAGAAGACCTCTTCACGGTGCAGAACATCATCAAGCTTACGCTGCACAGTTTCAAACTGTTCAATACTCCCACTGAGCCGAAGGTTCTCAAGCTGCACAGTCAACTGCTTTGCATCCTGTCTAAACCGAAGCTTGAGTCTCTTACCCCAGCTCTGTAAACAGTCACCACAAACCTTTATCTTCCCCGTTATATCAACACCATCATAACTAGTCCAACTCTCTCTAACCACAACATCCACATTAGATTCCTCTAGCCAGATATTTTCAAACTGAAAACGTTGATACCTTCGATTTTCGATTCTTGAGAAGTAAGAATTAAAAGAGAAGAGTGATCGGACTTACTTGAGACTAAATTCTGAACCTGATAATTAGGAAAGTGATTCTGCCAAAAGACATTTCCTAAAGCTCTGTCCAATCTTTCCTCCACCTAATGTTGACCACGATCGTGAGCCCAAGTAAAAGGGTACCCCGACATTCCCAAATCAACCAGACCACAGTCAGCCACAGTGTCCGAGAAATAAATATGGTGGATGAGGAAGACGCCCTTTCTTTTCTTCAGCGTACATTAGGTCATTAAAATCTCCATAAATTAGCCAGGGGACATTTTCCAACCGAGCTAAGGAGCAAAGAACATTCCATGAAGCTTGTCTACAGTATCTTTCCGGCATTCCATAAAAGCCAGTGAGGCGCCAAATAAAACCTTCAGTTGCAACAATTTTCATATCAATAAAATTTAAAGAATAACATATAACTTCTAAGTTAACAAGAGAATTCCACAAAATGGCTAAACTACCACTGTGTCCCATGGCATCCACAGCAAAACAACAATCATAATGAAGTCTGCAATGGAGCTGTTCTATTTTATTCAAAGCAACTAAAGTTTCAGATAATAACAGTTGGCTTATGACATTGAATAAATTCATTAAGTGCATTTATTGCTCGAGGGTTGCCAAGTCCTCGACAGTTCCAACAAAGAATATTCATGGTGTTTTGGTGGGCCTAGTTTTTCAGGTCCTACCGGAACAAGGATAGCATCTGAATGAACTCCAAGAACATTTTGGTTTTCAGGTTCCTACGCGGGAACGAACAGTTCCAACAAAGAATATTCATGGTGTTTTGGTGGGCCTAGTTTTTCAGGTCCTACCGGAACAAGGATAGCATCTGAATGAACTCCAAGAACATTTTCATCAAGAGAGTCATCCACAACCTCCATATTTGTTACTGCAGAGTCATGCAAAATAATCACATGGTCAACCCTGGCCCTTTTTTTGCCTTCTGCCACAAGCATCATTTCATCTTCATTTAAATTCTGACCCACCAAATCAATTACTACACCTGCAGAATCCGTTGACACAAGCCCATTATTCGATCCATTTTCAAATAAATTAGCTGCAGTGGAAAATGGTAAGTTGACTTTCAATTTAAAGGATAGTTCTGATCCTTTGAACCATTAGGAGCATGCAACTGCACAGAAGCATCAATCACGGAACCAGCATACGGGTTATCTGAAATTTTATTACCATATTTGTCACGGAACTAGCGCCAATCATCAGCTGCAGCACCTCCTTGCCGGACATTCGCCCTGAGCCAAGGACCCCAACCCCTTTCCACTTCGCCGTCGACTTGAAACAACACTTCACAGATACTGTCACTATGACCTAAACGACCACATATGAAACAAAACGTGGAAGTCTTTCAGAGGAAAAAGTCACAGTGAAGATACGTCCGTCTACCCTCCTCATCTTCTTCCAACTTTTGATCGGTGTTCGAATGTCTATAGCAACTCAGATTCTCATATACTCCCTCCTCTCCCTGTCTGATTTACCAGCGTCAAACGAAATAAATTTCCCAATGAAATCACCTATCTGCTTCCCAAATTGCTCAATCATCATACCCACCGGAACTCCTTTGATTTGAACCCAGACCTCCACGAAAAGCAATTCGACAGTTCGAGGATCTTGTCCATGTTTGATCTTTTCAATCATAAAAAGTTAGTTGTTGAAGGTCCAAGGCGACCCATTCGAAACTCTATTAAAATCCACGTTATGGAAGAAACGAATCAAAAATACCTTTGGATCAATCTCCTCAAAATGGATTCCTCTACCTGGTTGCCAAATTCCAGCCAAGGTGGACTTCATAGCACCCAAATTCACTCTTCGATCAGACAAAAGACGGCCCACCAAACATAGAGAATAATCAACTGATTTCTCCTGTATTGCTGGGGCATCAATGATAGCATCCTCATCATCCTCAATCGTTAATGCTACAAGGTTCGGAACCTCATTCGGAGCCACAGAAGAACTAGCCATAATTTGAATGCTACAAGGTTCGGAACCTCATTCGGAGCCACAGAAGAACTAGCCATAATTTGAAATAAAAGACTGCTCATGCAAGAGACGCAAGACAACTCTGATCAAATAAAAAGCTGCTCATCGAAAGAGACGCAAGATAGCTCACATGCGAAAAAGGCGCAAGACATAATAATGATAAAGAGAGACCTTTTGCAAAAAGGGGTAAAGTTTGTCAAAAAGAGAAATGGAGATGTTGACTTGACAATAAGCTTCTCTATTTTTGTTTCTTTTGATCCTTTAGTAGGTAAAGTAATTTAGGTGAAAAAGTAAAAGTCACTTTATTCAAATATGAACTTTTTTTTCCTTACTGTTACATTCCCACCGCAAAATTTGCAAAAGAAAGTCAAAAAAATAGGCCGCCAATTGGACTCCATGAATTCAACCCTATTGTAGCCTACTTGATGAAAACTGACAGCACTACATCTTTCCTTGTGTCGCCACCGCTGCCGCTACCGTGCACACCGGCAGAAAAATTGAGCCATCGAAAATTCTAGCAACAAACACACCACTCCGCTTGGGGTTTGATAGAGAGCCCTACATCTTCTCCTAATGACTAATGTTGAACTCCATTCTTCTTGTTCTTCTATCTTCTTCCTGTCATTGAAAGCAGAAGCACAAGAACGGGCAATGCAATATCCAACGAAAACAGAAGCAGGGGCAGCAAAATAATGGAAATCTCCATCCAAGGGGCCGCCGGTGAAGTTGAAAGTGAAAGCAATCGAAGGGACACCGGAGACAAGTATACTGGTAGAGTCCTCTACTTGAAAACCTTGGTTAACTTAACCCAAAACCTCCAATACGCACCGTTCTCAACATCTCTCGCCTTCTCTCAGTTCTCTCTTTTAAACCCGAAGTCACCAACCCTCTTTGGATCAAAGGTTAAAAAAAAAAAAAGATGGCATCTGATGAGATCAAGTATTGTTGCTTTATTCGTGGCCTTGCCTAGGTTAGAATTAATCAAGCCTTCCATGACGCCTTTAGTTCCAACGACAAGTCGCAGAGGTAGGATTTGACTGTTGATCCCAAATCTGTGATATGTTGTGTTACTATAATCTCTTTGTGTTACTAATTCCAAATCAGTATATTCATCTTCGTCCTTTACGATCGACGTGTATAGGGGCCTTAGGTTAAGTTAACCAACATTTTCAAGTGGGGGCCACTAAAATATTCTTTTATTTAAAACCTTAACTTTAAATGTAATGTTTGAATATTAATATATCTAAATTTTAGAATAAATGTTTTTTTTTTTTAATTTGACCTATTTTGTTTTGGACAGCGTCCGTGTCCTTCAAACACAAGTAAAAGTGAGTGACGCTCGTTAAGACTAGCTACATGGCTTTCCCGGTGTTTTGTTTTGTTTTGTTTTTTTTTTTTTTTTTTCTTTTTTTTTTTTTTTTTTTTTTCCTTTTTCTCTTTCCATTCAACGTCTCATGAAGATGATGAAAAGTATCTTTATAGACCAAAAACTGGTTCAGAAAATGACCAGAGAAATTTGAAGTAGCCCCAAAAATAATAATAAAAAAAAGCTATATGCCAGAAAATATTGAAAAAAAAAAATGGCCAAAACAAGATATATGCAGAAAATATGATAAATAACGTAGAAAATATGGCAAAGAATATGTTTAGAAATTCCAACGAACCAATTGGAGTTCATGCGATGGGAGAATTGAAAAAAAAAAAAAAAAAAAAAAAAAAAAAAAAAGGAAAAAAAAAAAAAAAAAAAAAAAAAAAAAAAGAAAATCATTAGAGAACACCAAATCAGACATAGAAAAACTATGTTGAACCACAAAAATCCAGAATTTGATGGCTTAAACTTTTACTGGTTGAATCAGAAAAACAAAATCAACCTACAAAAATTCATAATCAGAACTCAAGCAAAACTCTCTCCCATTCTCTTCTTCCTCCACTAAACCTCTCTCATAAAATTTTAACACACATTATATTAATTTTAATATAATTTAATTTCAATTAGAGTGTAGCAATTTAATAAAATTTTTAAATATAGTTTAATCAACTTTGATTTAATTTAATTTCTATTAATATTATTTTGAATTTAATAAAATTTTAAGTATGACTTAATCAAATGTGATGTAATGTAGTTCTAATTTAGTGTATGTGCTTATATATATGTTATCATTATTTAACTTCAATTAGGGTGTTGCAATTTAACGATATTTCAAGTGACTTAGTGAAATTTGATTTAATTTAATTTCAATTAGAATATCTCAATTGAATAAAATTTCAAGTGTAGCTCAATCAAGTTTAGTTTCAAGTGTAACTTTAATCAATTATTACTTAATTTAATTTTAATTTGGGTGTCTTAATTTCAAATGTGACTAAACATGGATGAATCAAGGTGAATTATCATCTAGATAGATTTTGAAATTAAGTGTGACTTAATCAATCGTTACTTAATTTAATTTCGGTTTGGATATTATAAATTAATTTAATTCATAATTTGATTTAATCGAGGTTGACTTAATTTAATTCAATTAGAATGTCTTGATTTAATTTATTCTCAAGTACGACTAGGTGTGATTTAATTTAATTAGGATATCCCAATTGAATAAAATTTCAAGTTTGGCTAAATCAAGTGATATAATTAGGTATTTTAACTTTATCACCACCCGAAATCATGTGTCGGACGGCGCTAGGGCCCAAGTATGTTTTAGACCCCTGAGGCCTATAGTAAGCCTGAACCACAAATCCACTCTCGTCAAATGAAATTCTAGGAATAGTTAGCGTTCAAAGGGGTAGAGAGGGTTCTGGTTTAGGTGTTAGGGAATGATTAGGTTTGATTCAGGACTGGTTTGGCTCGATTCTTTGCTTGGGTTTCCTTTCGGTTTGTGGCTTTTCAGTTGGTTTAATTAACTTTTTAAGTTTGGTTTTAACAAGGTATTTATTATTAGATATTTGTTTAAATAATTCACAAAGCAAAATTTTATAAATTTTAAATCTAATGATATCCTAAAATGTGATTGGTTAAAATTAATATTTAGATTTTAAATGAAAAGTTTTTGAAAATAATTTTTCAGGTCATTTCAAACTTAAATTAATTTTATTTCAAGTATGACTTAATTTAATCTCATCTAAGATATTTTAATTTAATAAAATTTAAAGTGTGTCTTAATTTAATTTTAATTAAGGTCTCTTAGTTTAATTTAATTTAAATTTAAACGTGATAAAATGTACCTTAATTTAATTCCAATTAAGGTGTCTTAATTTAATTTAATTTCAAGTGTTACAAGTGTAATTCAATCAAAGTAACTTAATTTCATTCTCTATATAGAACTTGAAACTAAGTATAACTTAATCATTTGTTACTTAGTTCAATTCTACCTTAAGCATCTTAACTAATTTCAAATGTAAGTTAATGTGATATGATCAAAGTTGACTTAATTAAATTTAAATTAGAGTGTCTTAGTTTAATTCACTTCCAAGTCCGACTAGGTATGATTTATTTTAATTTCAATTAGGGTGTCGCAATTCATTAAAATTCCAAGTGTAACTTAATCAAGCGACTTAATTTAGTTCTAATTAGAATGTTTTAATTTCAATTATCTAAATTCAAGTATGACTTAATTTAATTTCAATTAGAATATCTCAATTGAATAAAATTTTTAAATATAATTTAATAAAATGCAATTTAATTTAGTTTCAATTAGATTATCTTAGGTTTCGTTTGTTTCTGTAAAATAACTTGCAGGGAAATAACCTGCTGAAAAATATTTTTATAGAAAATATTTTTGAAATAACTTATTTTCCGTTCTTTAGTTGTAATATTGAAAATTAGTTAAAAATATTAAATTTTTTATCTCATAAGACCATAAAAAAATATTAATAATAATAAAAATTTAAATATTAAATTTTTTATCTCATAAGACCATAAAAAAATATTAATAATAATAAAAATTTTAAATTTTACTGTTAAATATAAAAAGAATGAAAAAATATATAAATAATGAAAGCAGCCGGTGGCCGGTGGTGGTGGTCGTCGGTGGTGGCCGATGATAAATAGTGACTGGTAGTGGTGACTGTGATGATTAATAAATTAAAAAATATGGATTTATAAGGTTTATCAATATCTGAAAAATGTTTTACTCTATTGAAAATGAAAAGTTATTTTCCTTAAAAAATGACTTAATTTTACTTTGATCAGGAAAATATTTTTCATTAATTTATTTTCCTAAACTCCCCAACCAACAAAAAATTATAGAAAATATTTTTCAACAAGTTATTTTACGGAAACAAACGAAGCCTTAGTTTAATTTAATTTAATTTCAAGTGTGATTTAGACAAGCTACAAGAACAATCATGATATTTGAATTTTAGTTTTAAATGTACCTAACCATAACTTAATCAATTACAATTTAACTTAAGTATCTTAATTTAAATCATTTTTTTATTTCAAAATATCATCAAATGTGATTTAAAGTCTAATATTCACTATTCTAAATCGTCCTTGTAAATATAAATATAATACATATTTTTATTTAGCATAGACTATATTTTTTACTCTTTCCATGGACTACTTTTTCCCTCTTCCCGTGGACATTATATAGTCCAAGTATATATAGAATGAAAAATATGATTTTCAAAGACAATTAATGATAATATTTGCATGTTTGACATTTATACTATTGCATTTAATGATATCTAGCCCTACATATTTTACAACCAATTAAATCAAGTTCCAGTATTTAACACTTCAAATCAAATAAATAAATAAATAAGATCAATGCAAATGGAAAAAACTTTAAGAAAAATAGCAACTACAATGAAAGAATCACATTCCAAAATTCAAAATTCCAATCCATACATGATCACAATCTGGAAATTCCAAAATTCAAAATTCCAATCCATACATGATCACAATCTGGAAATTGGTATGAAACTGAACACAAATATGACCAAAACTGCGACAAGAATTGCCTTAACTGCGCCAATAAAAACTAAAAAGAAAAGAAAAGAATGATAACAAAATACCAACCCAAACCACAAATACCTAAACTCTCTTTCTTCCTCCAACTATAAATTAACACTTGTAAATAATATACACATTCTACAAAAAAGGATTCACTTCAATCGCAATGATGGCCTTTCACACTCAATCCAACTGATGCGAGGATGTCGTTGCTGCAGAACATCGTGCAAAAACAAATTGATGGGAGAAACCATCTTATGGAAAAGAATGGGTAATAAATATTCTCACACACATACAGTCTCGGAGATTGGCATTACTACGATGAGAGAATGGATTGCAATGCCAACTGTTGCTGTGGATGCAACAAAGACCATGTTGAAGCCAATGTTGCTGGCGGTAAAGTCTGCTGAAGGTGCCTCAACAGGTTAACCATTCGACTTGCAGTTTGTTCCGTTGCCAGATCCTTACCACATAGAACCTATGATAACAGTAACTTCCTCTCAATAACACAATTTCACAGTTTTAAGAACAAACTTTACAGGTGTATAAGCATTTAATTATTTGAAATGTTCACTGCATCAAAATTTTGTAAGAATACCTACACAAAAATAATCAAACATATTGAAGGCAATCAATGACCGAAAAGCCATCAAACTCATTGATCAGAACTTGCGACAAGGTTAGAAACAGACTGATAAGGGTATAGTAACAATTAAATATCAAACAAAATATATTAAATTGAACTATCCCATCACATGATACTCAAGTCAATCGCGACCTAGGTTGGGTTGACAGTTAATGGTTAAGGTGGCAAGATAGATAGGTATTTAGTCAGATTTGACCAGATGAGGATTTAAGAGTACCAATACACTAATTTGCAAATGACTCGGTTTGTCCAGCCTGTTCAATCCAGTTTTTGGGAGTACAAAGTCATGAAAGGAGAATTCATACCGTTTGTTCCGATATCACTAGACGAGACATAAGACACAACCGTAGGTTAAAAGTGTCCAGATTCTGGTGAACATTAGATCAGATATTGGGAAAATGAGATCTAAATTGAGAGCCAAAGCCACTTACAAGAAGCTCTATAATTCCCCCCACCCCCCCATTCCGCCCAAAAAAAAAAAAAAAAAAAAAAAAAAAAAAAAAAAAAAACAAAAAAAAAAAAAAAGGAAAGGACAACATCTTGCAATTTTGTCAAATAACAAATGAAAGGAGCTTAATCACTTGTAAATTGATTAACTAACCTCAAAAAAAAAAAAAAAAAAAAAAAAAAAAAAAAAAAGGAAGAGGAACTATCTTGCAATTTTGTCAAAATAACAAATGAAAGGAGCTTAATCAACTTGTAAATGATTAACTAACCTCAGCAAATACTGAAACAATCTTAGGAAGATACTGATTATTCGGGCCCAAAAGTTCACTGTCGGACCTGTAGATGAATGCCCAGATGTGAATAAATTGTAAAAGCATAATGAAGAATAGACAAATCAATAGCAACAAGATGAAAAAGCATAGAGAAATCAAATTCTTGCCTCTCCACCATCAAACAAAGCTGTTCATGAACAACTTTTGCTTCAATCAAATCACCTGTTATCGGCAAACAGTTTAACCATGCTGGTACAACCTGCCAAACACCAAGACAGATACAAATTACAAGAGTTGTTAAAAATGACAACAAACTACCAAGAAAATTCCAGTAGTAAACCCAAAAAACTACATAGATATATCACAACTCCAAACAACTCTGGGTAATGAAAAACATCATTCACCAATGCATTTCCTCAAATGCGCAATATTTCGTCTACCTCAACTCAATGAAATATTCATTTCTTTTCTCCTATTTACAAGGGAACAAAAATTCTCCCTTTAGCCAAATTTTTTGAAAGGTGTAAAAGAAAAAGAAAGGAGTACTAATCACAGATTTCTCTGTTCCTCGACTCAAGTCTCAGTTTGAGTTACATCTAATGGCAATGACTGCTCAGGTGGACAATCAGAAATTACAGTCCATACAAGATGTGTATGTTTAACACCTGACCAACATTCATCGCATGAAAACATAGAAAAGGTCATGTATAAGTACAATTCTTACAGCATCGAGCTCTTCCTGCACTGGGAAAGGAAATCCTGCATTTGCTTGGACTATGTGCAAAAGTAAATTATTGTCTAGCCACTGTTCTAAAGTATGTTGTCAAAACAGTATTGACTTGTGTTGCATTTGACATCCAATTTGCTGTAATCACAATTGCATGAACACTTATATGGTGATATGGATACTATAACCCAGAAGGAACAATTAGGGGACAACAGCATCAAGCATAATGCGGGTCATAAATAGCAGTACTGCTACTGCAACAAGCTTCTACTAAGCCCATTATTATTAGATGTTTATATTCAATAGATCATTGGATATCCTCTGATAATGTATCTAATTTTCCATATGGTGAAAAAATACAAAATAAATATTAAAGTACCTGAGATGAATCAATACTTTCACGATGGAACTGGCAAATTTTCCCCAAAGCAGAAACAGCATTATCATATGCCATGACGTTTTCAGGTTGCTTAGCATTAGGATGCCGTATCACAACATTTAGTCTTGAAAGAGCCTCTGACGAAGCCAATAACAAACATTAACCCCATAGCACATGAAATTATATCACCTTATTAAAAATCAAAATCAACAACTCTAAGGTGCAGACAGTTACCTCCAACAAGAGGCTTAAATACAGACCCACCGAACTCTGCACAAACTCCTAGTCCATATACAGCTGCCTGGAAAATAATAATAAGAGTAGATGAGAATCTCAACAACCTGAGACGTATAATTGTTGGAGATTAGTCAGTACAGACCTGCCGAACATCAGGATTCTCATCATTGCATGCTTCTAATAGGAATGGTAAAAATGTATCATAGTACCTATACAAACCAGATTCAAACAATATGAATCAATCACGCGTTATTAATGGAATCAATCAATCAGTACTCCGCAATGTCCATTCTAAAAGAACTTACTTAAGAGCTGCCTCACGACATTGCTCTGCTACATCATCAAAAATGCAAATCGCAATCCTTCTCTCTTCAGCTGTCTTATCCTTGCCCTAAATAATGAGAGATGTCAGGCTAATAACTCGAGAATTTCATTTTGAAAAAATAAATAATAAAAAAAAACACACTAGAGTACCACTTACGTCAACAAACTAGAATGTAGTAGATGTCTCCATCGGACACATGGTTTCAAGTTTTTACTCATTTAAAATTTTACTAAGTACAAGTGTACAACATCATAAGGAATAGACAAATTTTGAATTAGGCTTTCTAGTTTGGAAATTTTCATCCATAATTTCAGACATTGGAATTGCAAATAAAAACCAATAGCAAGATTTTGAAGACAATTAAATAATTGGACTCCCATCTAGAATAAACAAGACCAACAGATTGGCTGCTAAAGATCCACAAGACACACACCATCTAGGTTTGATTTGGTATGCTTAGAGGACTCAAGTGAGAGTCATGGATTCAGGTATGGGGGCCTTTCCCAGAGAAATCCTAACCCCTTGCCCCCCCCTCCCCCCTCTCCCCACTTCTTATTCCTCTAATATTTCTTCTTGTCTTCCCTTTTCTAAAGAAAAAAAAAAAAAGGTGAAACATGCATAAGCTAGCTTTAAAATTCAGTCCAGTCCACCTTCAACCATAGAGTATCAGTACTAACAGTCAAACAATTTGTTTAAGAAAAATCTGAAAATCATAAAAGTATATATGCCAAGAAATTTGTGCTCACAAGTGGCAAGTATAACTCAAATGCTACATTATAATTTATGCTCACAAGTGGCAAGTAAAACTCAAATCCTATATTAAAATTTGAGCTCACAAGTCGCAAGTGTAACTCAAAGTACAAAAAACCAGCAAAACAAAAACCCAAAATATCTTGTTTTCTGATGTCATTAATTTTGCATTTTAGATTACCTCAAAGCCACATTAAAAGGTCTATTAATAGTCACCTTTTACACCAGAAAGGTAAATAGACTGAACACTTAAGTACAGGGAAAAAAAAATCAGAGGAGGTATTTGCTACACCACTAGTATTTTTGTTGGGAAACTTACCCACATAGGAGTTAGATAGGTTGATAACTCATCAAAGAAAGGCAGGAAAGAGCCTTTAAATGTTTTGATCAAAGTTCCCAAGATTTCACCCACCTGGAAACAAAAGTGAGTATTACAGTAGGAAAAAATGAAGTACAACAGATTATGAATAGACATCCTACTTAGAAAGTGGTCTGCTATATATACTAACTTGGTCAAAAACTTCCTCCTCTTGCTCATTTTCCTCTTTAATCAACTCTCCCTCCTCAGCATCAAAGTCTTCAGCTTTAGCTCTCTCCGCTCTCTCCCTTTTCCTACTAGAACTAGCAGTTATAACCTGTTTTATCTCATCCACAATAGATCGCACCTGACCTTCACCAACAAGTGTTCCAGATATCTAAAGGAAGACAAACAAAACTAGTCAAATACATTCAGAGATTTCACAATACAACTAATTCTAAAGATATGATTCCCAAATATATTTTTAACTTTTCTTTAATTGTAAAAACTATCATCAATCATGGAAGATTTACAATAGTTACTTTCAACCCCATGATGCTTGTGTTGTATCTAATGTAAAAGTAGAATATTCCCAAATTTCCAATCTTCTAGCCACATAAGCCCCAGAGGAAATGGCAAAATTTAATCTCATCATACAACAAACCTGTAAGCATTCATTTAATGCATCCAACATATTTGCACAGATCTCAGTATCAGGTTCCTGCAATCAAAATGGCAACTCAAAAAACTTCAGTTACGAAGTGACATATTATTATGCCAGAACTAGACAAAGAAAATATAATCACCTTATGTAATGCTTCCACCAAAGCTGGAATAATATAGTCAGACAACTGCTTTACATAAGACTCATTGTGACCTTGAGCCAGCCCCTTTTCTACAGCTAATTTTGCAGAACACAGCAGTTCCGGCATTGCTAGTAATAGATCCAGCATTTGCGTTAGAGTTTTAATCCCCAATTAGACCATTAAGGAAAAGACAAATACAAAACAATTTGATACCTGAAACGGCTGCTTTCCTGACTTCTTCATGGAAATAAAATTTTAGAAGAGGAACTAGAGTAGGGGCAACCTGAAGGCAAATTTTCCAATTTTTTATCATTTTCATGTAGCTGGAAATGTCAAGAGAGATAATATTTTTCAGTGAAACCAACCTGATCAATCCATGGAAAGAACCCTTCCTTAAGCTCATCTGCATAGCAACATAACATGTTGCAAGCAGTTGCTTTTTCTTCCAGGACACTAGTCTTGATCCCTATTCTTTTGTCCCCAAGGGTGATGGTCTCCATACTGTAACATGACAATAACTTTCAGCGAAATGTACTTTCATACTAAATAACCATGAATCCATGTGTTCCAATCATAATAATTAAAGGCAAAAAGGGCTACTGGAGCCTTGGTGCAAGCCTTTGAGCAAAGGTGTGAATCCAAGTGAGGTGTGTTGCAAAAACTAAATAAGAATAAGAATAATAATAACAACTACAACAACAACAACAACACATAAAACTGAAAATTATATTTTAACGTATCAAGGGAAAAAAAGAAAAAAGAAAAAAAAAACAAACATTAAAAAAAAAAGTGTAACTTATATTTTAAGATATTGGAGTTAAGAGAGAAGGATGTGGCATCGAGAAATTGGGGGGAAAGAAGAAAAAAAAAATAGAAAGCAAATATAGGAAGAGAAATTGAGAGAGACAAATTTTAATGGTTGCTGGCTGGAGGCTGGATTGCTGGAGTTGAGTGCTAGATGGAGCAAAGGCTGGATTGCAAAAGCACAACAATGGTTTTTTGTTGCACCTTATTTATTTATTTAATTATGTAAACATATGCTAGCTGGACAGCTTGCTATTAAAAAACCTAGATAAGTGTTCAGGTAAAAAAAAAAAAATAGGAAGGCTTGTTTCTTGCACCAAGGTGCGAAAAAGGCGTGTGCCTCTACCCAGAGGCAACCCCCAGTTAGGTTACCTGCCTGTGTACATTTGAGGCGCAAGTCCTTGTGCCTTAAGTGAGGATGCAGGTGTCATTATAAGCATACATATGCATTCTCAGCGTTTGTAAGAGAGAGTGGGTAGGAACTTAAGAGAAACTATTCATGCCACAATATTTCGCAGAATCATGCATACGGAACTATCCTTCAAGCCAATAAGGAAAACATAAAATGAATCAGTTGATTCATGCAATTCAAAGTTCAAAAATAAAAAAATAAAAAAATACAAATCATAAAGGAAAATTTCCAGACTATTAAAACATATAAACGCGTATTTTCAAAAAATACACATGTTGACACAAGTACATTTTCCATCAGAGGTAAATCAAGATCCAGAGAATAGATAATACCTTTCATCGTCAGAATCATCAATATCGTTGTCTGAATCTGCAGATGTAATGGTTACATCTGGCTTGAGTTGAGCAGACTGAAGCAGGGGTGGCATGACAACAGCCATATAAGGAAGAAAATCATGTCCCAAACACTTGCAAAGTCGGGCCCATGCCTAAAACATTATAAAGTAACCATTATAAGACAACAAATAGTAATGAGAAAATCAACAAGAAAAGATGTCACTGATTTCATGATCATTTTTTGGGAAAAGGAAATACTTGTAACATGTAACTTGTCGTTGGATCATCTGTCTCCATTGGAGATCCTTGTAAAGACATAAGGACTTCCATAACCTTGCAAAAGCAGAAGAAACAAATAAGTCACACCAAAAATCAACAGGGAAATCAAACAATTCCTTGTCCCAAAAAGGGTGAAAATATGTTTCAGTTTGTGGAATAAGAATCCAACAGATAAAAGAAAGAAATCAAGGAAAAGTCATTGACGTCTTCCCTTACATGGGTACAAAAAAGGTTTTAAAATATTGAGATGCTATGTTTCTACTGAATGTATATGGGTTTAAGTTATTGTAGCTCAGTAGCAAAAATTTCTCGATGGAATGTGGTTAATCACAAAGATTTCCATAGATGTAAGGGTGTACCTGCTTAGCGTCATCCCTAAACTTCTCCTTTCCAACAGCCATGCCAACAAGACTAATGCACTCCATGGATTTAGCGCGAAGCATGCGGTTAGACTTGTCTGTTGCATTCACTAAGATAGCTTTCAGGTATGGCATAACTGCATCGTAGTACTTTTGGAAATGCTCCTACAGTATCAGATACAGTTAGATAAAGTTATAGTTAACTAAAATAGTGATGGCAACAATGACAATGACATTACTATTAATCATTATTACCAAAACGGCCTTTAGATTACCTGGGATGAATCAGCAACTGATGCCAAGGCAGTCAAGGCTCCTTCTTGCACCATTTGCTTTCCATTCTGCAGTCCATAGTATGTAGAATAAAAAAGTAGGACATTTTCATTTTATCAAAGAGAATTCATGTCAATGATAAAACGTGTTAATAATACTTCTATCATGTACCTGTAAAAGTACAAGCAATTTGCTCACTATTCCATCCAAGTAAGGAGTTAAAATCTCCGGAGTACAGTTCTCACTGAAGTTGAGCACTGCTGAAGCAGCATGTGCCTGTCACAAAGAATTCAATGAATAATCCATAGCTGCAACAATATAGCATAATCTTCAACACGCAGAACAACATAATAATTAAAATGTTGAATTTACAAAGAAAAGAGAGCATAATTATGTTGTATGTATGACATGGTGAAAAGAGAATGGAGCACCATTTACAGAATAAGAGATATAAACCAATATCTCTAAGAGTACTTGTTAAACTCTCTTCTAGCAAACAAGAATTAAGAAATTAACCCTCCAAAGGGAGAAATGAAAAACGGGAGAAGGTTAAAAAATGATATATTCATGTTCAAACATTTCAATAATCAGAAAGTCTCATTAGTGCAGTCAAACATTTTTCTTGGCAAAAAAAATATACGACTATTTGACCCTGTCAAGTGCTCATTCACTTGACCTAAAACTTGACCTGAAATGCACCAAGTTTTTTATTAAACCAATCTCCCAAATCAATGACAACAGAAAATGCTCTGCATAACTTACATTTTTGAAACACCAACATGTTCTTTTAAGAATGAAAATAAGAACTTCCATGCCTGAAACTGAGATTCAACTAATGAACAAGAGATGATGCAGTAGCCACATTACCACCACCTAACACATGAGTACATGCAACCTTATAGCAACCTTATAGGTTATCCAACAACACATGTGAGAGCCAATCTGTCAAATCAAGCACTTCCTTCGATTCCAACAACAAAAATATATCTTAATTACAGAAAATCTGGCTAGGAAAAGTTATCAGATGCAGTTTCAGTCAAGTGCCAACTCAAAAGTAATGCCGTCGTGAAGCACTTTCTAAAGGGTAGCATATTTTCTCTACATTTGTACAGAATGTAGAACACTTTGATATAGGAGCGTTCAAAATCATATGGTCATGAAGCATTTTCTGAAGGGTAGCATATTTCTTCTATATGTCAAAGACAGAAACTATGAATTGGCACACAAAAAGCAGAACATATGAAGAGATAAATAAATTAGTAGCCAAAAAAATTAAACAAGAAAAAAGAAGGAAATTGAAATCTCAGGTTGTATTGCGATATATTATGGAAAGTTCTACAACCCAGCACCAGCGAGAGAAAATCGTCAGAAAAAGTTAAGCAGCTGGGATGCAAGTCTAGAAAAGTATGCATGGAAAAAGAAATGAATGGGGGGTGAAAACTAGAATTAATCCTTGGTTTTTATCTTTACTTTATTAGTAGTTCTTGTTTATCTAATTGAGTTGTTTCTTCTAGGCATGTGCCTATATTTCGAGTTTAATGGGTTTGTGTGTAGGCAGATATGGGATACTGGGCAGTTAACTTGCTTCCCATAAACTGAATGACTTACTATTTACGAGTAAAAGCATGAAAAGCAAGCAGTATCCCAAAAAGTTCTCGTTGAATTGATAGGATTCTCTAAGACTGAGCCCTTAATATATAACCACATGTCACAATGACAGAAGCTATGAAATAGAGCATAATGAAAACAAAGGATTCACATATCCAACCCACATTAATTTGAGATTAAGGTTTTGTAGTTCTTGCTGTACGTCACAGAAAGAGCAACAGATTCAAGTTTCAAGTCAATCAACATAGGGATTTTCCTCTCAATTGTAACCTAACCAGATCACAAGGGACCATATCAGGATGATGCATGTGTTCATATGTGCCGTTCTAGAAAATCATAACGCTCAAAAAAATTATATTACCTAGCCCTTGCACATTATTAGACAATGTTCACATGAGCACCAAAAAGATGCAACCATTGCTATTTAATTTGTCAGGAAGGGCTGAGACTTACAACCATACTTGAACCATAGTATCATATGAAGCAAATTCCTTTCCAAAGGAAAACTCCATACCAGTACAGAATTAACAACCCAGAAAAATACAAACACAGTATCAATAACTAACCTGCACTCGTGGATTCTGGAAGTCATCCATTGCAGCCGCCAGTGCTGGCAACACACTTTGATGGTATTGATTTTGCAAATCAGGACCCAAGTCTGTAGACAATTGCCCAATTGCATTAATAGCTGCCCATCTTACACGGGGATGGGGATCATGGAACGAGGTCAGAACCATTGACACTATTTGTTCCAGATTTTTTATCATCACCTACAGCAATAGTACAAAGTAAAGATCATGAATATCAATAGAGTGTCTATCTGATAAATGAATAGTGATTTCATTATAGTTACCAAAAGATACAAATAAGGTTGCACATAGAAGCCTTGAAATTTCAAAGACTGACCAAATAATCTAATTCAGTACATTTCTTAACATTCTTTTTTGGACATCATTTTTTCATTTTGTTTAACATTTTACCTAGCTGCTCATATCAATATCCAATTTGCTTCCAAACAGAGAAAAAGCATATAAGTTGATTAACATTCCTAAAGAGAAAGGCATTGTGTCTAACTGGCAATTAAAACCAAGCATATATTCCAAGTTTGATAGGCCACAAAGGGATGTGAAGGAATATTTTTTTCTATTCACCATCATATCGCACTATCTACATCTCTATGCATTATCAAGATACAAGAATGCCTTGTTCAAAGCAAAGTGAGGCACATTATCCATGATCGAGGAAGTATGCAACTAGTTTCCATTTGTCTACTACTTGCATTGCAATTAAAAAATAATTGCAAAGTTCTGACCCAATACCATAAAACAGATATTTAACATTAAGAAACTATTAAAAATTCTTCTTAGAATTCACATCCCAATCACACCTAATGCAATATAATAAAAATTATATCGTTTAAAGCAACCTAAGTTATGTAAAAATTGCAGCAATATGTAAATCAAGCAACATGGCACTACAAACGAATAAAAATTATATACCTTGGAGCAACCCTCAGCAATCTGAGCGAGAGCAATGAGGGCAGCATGGTGCTTCTGCCATTCTGGAGCAGCCAAATATGCAGGCAACTGCTCAGATGCAACAGGAACAATAGTATTTCCACCCAACGAAATTGCCAGCCTATCCAAACACTCTTGTCCTACACTATAATTACTAGTCTCGCCCGCGTCTTCATCTTCAGTCTCTGCACTATGCCATGCGGGATCATCCTCAACATCCAACAACATCCTCATCAATATCGCAAACAACCTGCTTATGAACTGCGGCAACTTCCTCATCATCCCAGGTGCCCTCTCCCTTGCTTCGGCTAAAGTAATAACAAACTCAATCGCCAGGTGCCGAGTTCCTTCTTCTAAACTCTCAGCCTCAGCAATCTGCAACATGGAACCCACCACATCGACCAACTGCCGCCGCAGAAATCTCGGTTCTGTACCTGCCAACTCAATAAGAAGCTCCAAGGCCTCCTGCGCTGTAGCTTCGTTTCCATTATTCAAAGCTTCAGTCAATGTCCTCATCATCGCTGGCAACAAATCCTGAAACCTATCCCGATCAGAAGAGCTATTCAAACACTGAATGAAATTGATCACCGCATTCAAGGCAGCTATCTTCACATCAAAACTAGGAGACGATCCCAAACACTGCAAAAATACCGTGTGCAACTCCTTTATAAATGGAATTAACGTCTCACCGATATACTGTGACAACTGAGCGAAAATGAGGAACGCCGATTCCTGCAGTTTCGGCGAATCAGAAGACACGCACTGAAACATAAACGGCAATAGCTCAGGCCAGCCATTCTCAGGCAAAATTCCAGAGGCCAGCTCAGATACGGTGTCGCATAGCTTCTTAACAATTGATTTGTTCTGTTCATGCTGGATACACGTCAAAAGAATAGATTTGAGAGAAGACTGAGTGGCGGGCGTGAGGCGAGGCCAGAGATAAGCGTCATCACGGGTAAGAAGCTTACGGAGGAGGACGGCGGACATAGCACGAGCCTCGTTGCGAGGAGAAAATTGAAGAAGATGAGCGAGTTTGAGAGAGAGAGAATCAGGATCGTTCTGCTTGCAGAGGTTGAAAGCGAGCTCAGCCTGCGATCGCTGCTCGTTGGAAGAGGACATAAGAGAAGAGATTAAGGTTTCGAAAGGGGCAGGGTCTTGGCCCAGTATGGCGGCGAGTTGAGCTTGTTGGAGTTGCTGAGTTGACTCGTCCATGGTTGTGGGGAATTAGGGTTTGGAGGCTGAGAAGTGGTGGTGGTGGCTCTTTTCTTTTGTTTTAGGTTTTTCTTTTCAGTTAATTATTATTAATATGAATAAAAAATAAAACGTCTCCCTCTTTGGATTTGTGAGAGAGAGAGAGAGAGGGGGAAATGGGGAAAGAGCGAAAGAGTATGGAAGGAGAGGGGATTATAACGAAGGCCAGAGGGCGAGGGATTAGACTATTAGGGCAAAGTAAGAGAGAGGCGGGATTGAATGGGAGATTAGCTGGATTTTGTGTGCAACTGTAATGATTAATGTGTGTTAACTTTAGTTGATTATTTATTTTATTGGCAGGTATAAAAAATAAAGTGTAAATAGATTATTTAATTTTAATATTTTTATTTATAGTATATAAAAAAATATTAATGGTAAGAGATTAAATATATCGGAATAACATTATAAAGAAATACAATCGAAAACCTTCCAATATCTTTATCTTTTATAAAACATGAGAAAATTAACTAAATCACACTTAATTAGCATTTAATTTTTAAAAATTATACGCTAAATTTTATTTTAATATATTTGGCTAACATGTTTTCTAAATTATGTTATTTTAAAATTGAATTACAGTTATAAAAGGAAATAGCGTGATCGTCGTACCCCGTTTTTATAAGGTGTATTGACATTAGAATTTGAATATATTTTAATTCATAATAAATCTATACAAACTTTCAAACATACATTAAGGAAACCAATTCCGTGCCTACTGCATTGATTATGAAACAGTATATACAAGTTACAAGAGGAACTTTAGGCTACAAATCAGCTAACTAATTGCTAAAACTATGGTAACTAAATATATACTAACTAAAAATATATATATACAATAACAATAGAATATATGCAAGATATATTAACTAAATATATACTAACTAAAAATAGATATATACAATAACAATAGAATATATATTAACTAAATATATACTAACTAAAAATAGATATATACAATAACAATAGAATATATGCAAGATATATTTTAACACACCCCTCAGTCGAAGCGGGAGGTTCTCGTATGCTTAGACTGTCTCTGAAATCATTAAATAAAATGCGCGGAAGCCCTTTTGTAAAAATATCTGCAATTTGGTAATGGGATGGTACATGAAGCACACGAACTTCGCCACGAGCCACTTTCTCACGAACGAAGTGAATATCCATCTCAATGTGTTTGGTGCGTTGATGCTGAACAGGATTGCCGGATAAGTATATCGCACTCACATTGTCACAATAAACTAGAGTAGCCTTTTGAATAGGACAATGCAACTCTAGAAGCAAATTTCTGATCCAGCACGAATTAGAAACAACATTAGCAACACCCCTATATTCCGCCTCAGCACTACTACGGGAGAGAGTGGGTTGCCGTTTGGAAGACCAAGAAATCAAATTATCTCCGAGGAATACACAATAACCAGAGGTAGAACGACGGGTGTCAGGACAACCACCCCAATCTGCATCTGTATATGAGATAATACAATTAATATGGGATTTGTACAAGTGGAGACCAAAAGAAAGAGTTCCCTGAAGATAGCGTATGATACGCTTAAGAGCACTCATATGCTCATTAGTTGGAGCATGCATATGAAGGCAGATCTGCTGCACGACATAGGAAATGTTTGGCCGAGTGAATGTAAGATATTGAAGAGCACCGACAAGACTATGATACGTAGTCGGATCATCATAAGGAGTATTTGCGGTAGCACTGAGTTTGGACTTAGTGTCAACAGGAGTAGGACATGAACTGCAGTTAGACATTCCGGCACGTTCTATAATTTTTGCAGCATATTGTGTCTGAGATAGGAAAAGACCATAGGCATGACGAGTGACGGCAATACCCAAAAAGAAACTCAGAGGACGGAAAAGACCATAGGCATGACGATTGACAACAATACCCAAAAAGAAACTCAAAGGACCAAGATCCTTCATAGCAAATTCAGAAGCTAAGAGAGTCATAATATACTTACGAAGATGATCAGAAGAAGCTGTAAGTATAATATCATCCACATATAATAGAATATAAGCAATATCAGAACCATTCTTTTAGATAAACAAAGAGTGATCTGACTTACTGTGAGAGAACCCAATGGTAGCAACAAAATCAGCAAATCTTTGGTACCAAGCACGAGGAGCCTGTTTTAACTCGTACAAAGATTTCTTCAAAAGGCAAACATGATCTGGATTATTTTTGTCACGAAAACCCATGGGTTGATGCATATCAACTGTTTCATTGAGATGACCAAGTAAGAAAGCATTCTTGACATCCATTTGATGAATGGGCCAAGATTTAGAGAGAGCAATGCTGAGAACTGCTCTAATGGTGGCATGTTTAACCACGGGGCTAAACGTCTCATCACAATCAATACCCTACTGCTGAGTATTCCCATCACCTACAAGACAAGCTTTATAGCGCTCAAAAGAACCATCAGATTTATGTTTGTGACGAAAAATCCACATAGACCGAATTACATTCACATTAGGAGGTCTAGGCACTAATTCCCAAGTCTTATTATCAATTAAAGCATTAACTTCATCCAACATTACACTTTTCCAATTATGGTCACTAAGGGCACTAATAGGATTTTTTGGAATAGGAGATATATCCGTAGTGGAGGAAGTGTGGTAATTGGAAGAGTATTTAGGGTTGGGTTTAAAAATGCCATGTGAAGCACAAGTGGTCATGCATATTGAAGCTAGATTAATAGGCCTTGGAGTGGTGTGAGGAATGGACAAAGGTGTGGAGTGCATAGACGGGGTTGGGCCAAAGGGAAGAGAGGATGGGCCAGAGCCGTCCAAGTGAGAAGAAGGAGTAGTGGACTGCAGTTGCATTGGGCCCAAAGGAGTGGCAGACCGTGTGTGGGCAGCAAGAGAAGCTGCTGAATCTAGGCCCGTGTGAGACTGTGGCCTAGAGTGAGAAAGAGAGGACGAGTTGGGCTGTGGGTTTGGGTCAGGCTGCAGATTTTGTGGTGTGGCATTTTGACTGATATAATGTAATACTTGAGGATTAATATTATCACTCAAAAAATCATAATTTGAAGGTTGTGGGTTGTGTAGTTTGGAAAAAGGAAATTCGGTTTCAACAAAACGAACATGACGACAAATGATGATTTTACCACTAGACATGTCATAACATTTGGAGCCACGATGATTAGGAGCCGACCTAAATAAGCACAAGGAGTCGACCTTTCTTAAAATTTATGAATAGTAGAAGAGGGAAATAATGGGAAACATAAGCAACCAAAAACACGCAAACCCGAATAATCAGGATCACTTTGATAAAGGATTTGAGCGGGTGATTGATAATTCAAGACCTTGGAAGGAAGGATATTGAGGCAAAAACACGCAAACCCGAATAATCAGGATCACTTTGATAAAGGATTTGAGCGGGTGATTGATAATTCAAGACCTTGGAAGGAAGGATATTGAGGAGATATGTAGCCATGGAGAGAGCATAATGCCAAAAGGATGGTGGCATAGATGCATGGGAGAGAAGAGTCCGGATGATATTATTTATGGATTTTATGTGTCTCTCAGCCTTCCCGTTTTGAGAAGTATGAGGACATCAGAGACGGAAAAGCATGCCATGTTGCTCAAAAAAATCCTGAAAAGTTCCATTTATGTATTCCGTTCCACTGTCACACTGAAAGGTTTTAATATTACGTTCAAATTGAGTCTTGACTAAAGCATGAAAAGATAAGAAAAGTTGTTTGACTTGAGATTTCTTAGCAACAGGAAATGTCCACAAAAATTTGCCATAGTCATCAAGAAACATAACATAATAGTAATGGCCAGAAGTACTAACAATAGGAGAAGTCCAAAGATCACTATGAATAATATCAAATGGTAGAAAAGTAAATGACACCGAATCATAAAAAGGTAGTTTAGAATGCTTCCCAAGAGGACAAGAAGAACAAAAAGTTTTACAAGCCTTATTACAATCAATAAACTTTTGACTACGAAGAGACTTAAGGATAGCATTGCCCGGGTGACCTAAACAGTTGTGCCAGATATCCGAAGGTAAAGCAGTAAAAGCGGACTGATTGTTGGAAGAAATGGCTTGAGAGTTGGAGAAAAGTGGATATAAGTCCCCAGTGCTATCACATCTCAGTAGTCTGGTCCCCGTCTGTAAGTCATTAATAGAGAAACCAAAAGGGTCGAAAGAGATAGAAACCATATTATCAGTAGTAAATTTACGAACAGAGACCAGATTTTTAATGAGTTGGGGAGCATGTAACACATTGTTTAGGGTAAATGGTGGATAAGGGGGAGGCAATGTAATGCGACCGTGACCAACAATTGGAAGTAAATGACCACTACTAACAATAATGTTATGATGCTTATTGCTTGAATTGAAATAAGAAGAGAGAATACCTGCATCCGCTGTCATGTGAGATGTAGCACCGGTATCCATGTAGTAGTTCCCATCGGGTTGAGAGAATGAAAGGGCATGCATAGCGGCCTCAATGTCGGTGGGCATGTAGCTAGAAGCAGAAGGAGTAACAACATTGAAAGCTTGAGGTCGGGGCCTAAGTAAGCCTGACCCAGGAGAGGTAGGACGTTGGGCCGCTGGATTGGGCCTTGGCTGCCAGGGGTAAGCGGGAAAAGGGCAAGGTGGAACAGTCCACCCACCCTAACCAAGCTACCACATCTGCTGCCACTGTGGCGGAGGGGCCTGTTGATGTGGCTACCACTGTTGCCGATGATGTGTCGGCTGACTAGCACTGGCCCCATTAGAATTTTGTTGGGCCTTTTTCTTCCCATTGTTTTTCAAATTCCCCCTCCCTTTATTATTGCTGTTGCGTTTTTTGCTTGCAGAGGAGTCAGACGTCATAGAAGAATGAGCAGCAACCATGGCGGCACCACCAAACTTGGTGCCAGAAACACCATTTTCACGAGCGTGACGGGCCTTAATAGTACGCTCCGCCATTTTCAACCTCGAACGACAACTCTCAAAGGAGGGCAAAGGCTCTTAATTTTGTATAAAGTCCACCGTACCACCATACGCCTCTGGTAAAACCAGACGACCATTTGTTACCGGAGCATCAACATCAGCCAACCTATCCGCTAGAGATTGTAGGTGATTACAATAATTATCGATCGAGTTGAAATCCTCTCAAAACAGCGTTTGTAAAGTCCTCCTCGAGATGGGTAGCCCGAGAGGCTTTATTGTCCTCAAAAAGAGCTTCAAGAC